CCCCCAAAACCCCAAAACCCCGAGCATTGAATACTGGCATAATTATGAAATTAAGATTAAATTATACACTTTCATTTTTACATTTATTGAATTTCAACTAGCAATTTCGCAAGCTGGATATTCTGAATAAAATGGTTTTACATGCTATAAAATGCTTCCATTTCTAGTTCTTAGAATAAACCAAAATTCATATCTTCCCGCGCAAAGATTTTTTGTCGAAATAAATTCAGTTGAGAAACCACTAGCAATTGATGTTAAAATTTAAAGTTCCTCCACTATAGTTTCATCATTTGGTTTATGAATTTCTATAAATGTGCCGCATTTTTTCGTGTCTTAATATAAATCACTGCAGATCAAAACATAACCTGTTGTTAGCCAAGCAATACCGATATCAGTACCTGACACAATAGATGTATTATCCTCACAAGCAGCTTCATTCGAACCATCACAACATAAATCAGTAGTACCCATATTCCTACAAGGATCAACTTTCATCATAATCTTGAAATATCTTGGATTGGGAAAGTCAACTTAATAATTATTCAGTCTATTTTACTTGTAAAAATACATAGCCCTTTGTTCAGGTTCTTGAAAATCAGTTCCATTCAGAACTTTCAAATAGTCGTGAGTATCATTTCCTGCCTTTTATTCTATCTAAATTTTGAAGAAGTAATCCAGCTCTTTCATAATTGCTTAGTATGATACACTTGAGTAATTGAAATTAAATTATCTTATCATATCCTCTGGGGTGATCGGTTTAATAGTATTATCATCCTCAAGACTTCTTCTCTTTTTTTACTATTTCTTTTTATAAGTTTTGTTCATAATAACTTCATTATTAGTTAATATTGTTTGGTTAAAACTAATTTAAGCTCCATTGTTTTATGAGTCATCATCTAGTTAGTAATCCACAACTTGGAGCTTTTACTTCTAAACTCTTTTAGTTTAAATAGGCTCTTTGAAGGGATAAACAATGAGGAAGCTAATTAGTAGATAAATGTAGTATTTCATTTTATAATTACAAGTTAGAATTAAAATCTAATCAAAAGATGAAGACTATTGATATGGGGTTTTGGGGTTTTGGGG